TAGGGGTGTTAAGAAATGCACGGCATTTACGGACGCTCTTGATTTCCGTTGTTTGATTTGATAATTAAACTCTCTTCTTTTAACAAAAAATCCGGTACGAATCCTTATCAGGTGAACAACCCAGATTTCGTCCTGAAGACCCCTGCGCCCCCGGAGTTTTTGTTGAAAGTTGAACCGATCACGCAGAAAAGTTGAAAAATTCGAAAGGAAGGGGTCATAAGGTCAATAATGAGTAGGGTTCCGTGTTTTCGGAGCTTAATTTTCGTCAAGTTCGGAGGGTGTTTTTTTTAGTTTATTTTCTGCCGAAAATTCGGAGTTTATCGGAGTTTATTTTTGCTTGATTCCGAATTCTCCGAAATTTGGAGCTCGATTTCGCAGTGTTTCTAATTAAAAATAAACAAATAATATTCAAATGTAAACTTATGCTGGACAAAAAAGAAAAGAAAAACGCTATTGTATCAATTAACATTTTCTTCAGTTGGATTTGGCGTTGGTGCCATTACTACTGGCAATACTAATTTGTCCTAGAACAAAAGTGGTACACAAGTGTTATTTCGATAAATGTCGATACCTTAAAATCAATAACCTACTGGAGGTAGTTGCTGGGAAGCCTGTATTCATTTCATGCTATTCCATCGACGTACCGCGCGGCGGCAAGAGGCAGAGTGGAAAAGGATGAAATAGAGAAGTTTCAACTGTCCTTTTCCCCACTTTATGTAATCTCTATGGTTCCACAGCTTTCACGTTTACAAAAACACAACCTCTCCTTCTTCTCAGGTACAAATAGTATGACCCAAACTAGCACCGAAAACAGTGACTTTTGTCTTGACCCGATAGTACAATGACCTGTTGCCCTGACCTAAATTTGAAAGATGTGTGGTGGCATTTTCCCAGGACCATTTACTGTACGCGCTGATTAAACCATTAATTGTAAAATGTATTTGTGTGTGTATGTGGAGGGGGGGGGGGGATTAGCACATCGAAATTCAGAGTTTATCAGATCAATCCGAATAGACGAAACTTTTACCGCCGGGTAACACAAAACCCTAGTTATGAGTCACATTCTGACCCCCCCCCCCCCCCCCCCCACACACACACACGCACCACTCCAAACGCCCTCGAAAATACTGAACTTTTTCAGTTAAGACCGAATTTGGAAAATTAATTCTGCGTACTTTCACCGGTTATATTCGGTTTAACCCGAAAACGCTGAACCCTAAATATAGCGTTTGAAGTTAAAGAATGCACGTCTCAAATAAGGAACTGTAAAGAAATTGAGGTTCTAGGCCAATTCGTCAAAAGCCAACTCGTCGACGGCCAATTTTTCAAATCTGTTCTTTTGGGAGCAAGTTCGCGCATGAGGGTTCCCTGGGTAATACCGAAGCCCCCGCTGGTGCTTATTCTGGCTAGTTTGTAGCGTGACCTACATTGGGGCCGAGGTTGAGCAGTTTCGCGCGGCTCGCATAATGAGCCGTGCTCCGTGCTGCGCAAGCGCGAGGAGCGGTGACGTCACACGGTGCACAGCTGGCGCGCCGGAGCCGCCGCCGCCGCGCCCGCCTCGCCGGTCTGCGCATTCCAGAGGAGTGACGTCATAGCCGCGGCAGACGCACTGGCGCTACCGCGTGCCCAGCTGTGCTCTTCCGTTGCGCAGTAGCCAAGTCTGACGCTGCACCGAGCCGCTTGATAGCGCCTCTCATTTTGTGCGTATAAGCTCACGCTACGTATATCGTGGCATGGCCGAGCTAAGCCACCGCAATTTTTTCGAGCAGTTTTGCTCATTTTGAGGCGCAAGTTTGCCTGGTGATATCGTCTACAATAAATAATTCAATCGCACCGCAATTTGCTGTCGTTAGTTGTTAAAAAAAAAAAAAAAACAGAAAGCGTGTGCGGCAACGGTGTATTCAGCCCATGCTGCAGTGTTATACCACAGCATTGAGGCTGCGGCGTTTACTGCTTCACCGGTTTCCACTCGATTAAGGCCTTCGTCGCCAATAATCTGCGAATTTAACTCAAAACGTACAACTTCTCCTGCAAGCTCACAGCCGTGTGTTTCGAGGAGATTTTATTCACGCTCCACATTAAAGTCACCTTATCTTACCGTTTGTATCAATGCACCTGCAATCGGCGCATCTCCCGCTTTTTTTTTTTTTTTGGAGGGGGGAGGGGGGGGGGGGCGGACGTTCTACGCTTAGGTGGTAATTACGAAACGAGGAGTACTACGGAACCTCACCGGACCGCCAAAAACCAGGCAGTTCATAACTTGAACTTATGGATACCTTTTTCCCAATAACTTTTCCTCTTTCCCTGATACTACAAAAAAGACCAGACAACGCAGCCAACATCGACGCGAAGGTATCCCCTCTAACTACCCAATCTCTTCAGAGATTAGCGTAGTTAAGTAGTAGTAACTACTGCTAACTTTATTTGTCTTTAGCAATCACACAGCAGCAGCACTCGGGGTTTGAGTGCGATCCCGTCGCCGCCATGCGTACTTTTTTTTTTATTGTTTCTCCACTAGCTGTTAAATAATGCCATGCAATGTCCAACCCTTTTTCTTTACGTTCTGTTTTGTTTTCATAAAACGCTACCTATTACAGCCTTTTTACATGCGTGCTGTTTTGTCGCATGTGCTGTTTTGACGCCGTGCTGTTTTGGCACGTGCTCTTCTGCCGCTGTGCCGTTTTGACGCCGTGCTGTTTTGTCGCGTGCTATTTTGACGCGTGCTGTTTTGTCGCCGTGCTGTTTTGACGCTGTGCTGTTTTGACGCGTGCTGTTTTGACCGTGCTGTATTGTCGCTTGCTGGTTTGTCGTGTGCTGTTCTGTCGCGTTCCCATATGTGGTATGTGATTAGGTTCTGAACAAAGTGTGATGACTTAACGAACCTCCCGATTGCTGCAAACTATGAGTTACACATAAGCAGTGCTTGAAGTCTCAATTGAGGGGGGTCCCAACAAGAAGGGAAGAGGGTGGGCAAGCGGGGGGGGGGGGGGGGGGGAGGGGGGTGGGGGGGAGTTCACGAAATGTATTAGATGCACATAAAATAAAACCGACTGCTGACTATGTCCCCGCCGTACCTGCAACCCTCAAATTGCCAATCCCCAAATGTCACATCCCTGAAAACAAGCTATTTCATTGCAAGATATGATTTTGATTTCACTAATGCTGGGGCTGTGGAGGGGGTCTCAGACCATCCGTTAAAATCAGTGGGGGGTCCGAGACCCCCTGAGACCCTCCAAACTTTAAGCCCTGCACATAAGTGCAGTGCAGGATACTCAGCTTAATTCTGGCACGCGTTAGACAGTGAAACCAACTTGTGACTTATGCTACAAAACCATTTCGGCAAGGGAAGTTTGAAAAATGCCTTCGAAGATGGAGTTTCCGCATTCACAGAGTTTCTTCAAGCCTGCTGTCGCAAGTTAATTTCAGATGTTACTGCCAAGTGCACCTCCCAGAGATAAACAGGTGCTTGAACACCGTGTTAGTAAGAACTTTCGAGGAAGTGCACACAAGATGCAGCAGAGAGTAAAACGTGTATACCTTTATTCTTGAGAATTAATTAGTGGGTCACGTCCAGCCTTCATGTGGTAGGTAATCATCATAACTTCCAGAGCAATCAAGTCCATATGAACAACTACAGAACCTGGAAAAAAAAAGTGGAATGTGGTTAGGTTCTGAATAGAATGCGATGACAAACTAAACCTCCCGATATCTGCAAACTATGAGTTACACGTAAATGCACTGCAGGTGCCAGTGTGATTTAAGAAAGCGGTAAACCCCTAATAAAATTACTTGAAAGGGGCATGGACACAGAAATTAGGCAAGTTAGAGTATTTGTTACATGACAACACCTATTGGTCATACACGAAACATTTCAGAATATTTAAAACTCCAATAATTACACAAATATTTTTTTTAATGTTCGTCATTTTTTTTGGTGACTAGGATACCTTGACACAACTCCTACTGTGGCAACGGCAGCTCGTCCATAAATCACGTGACCCTGACTGAGACGTTGAACAATCTCTCTTTCGTTGTTCTCTACCCGCGTTCGCCACGCCACGCATTTCCGTTACTCAGGCTCTGTACCTGTTTCTTCCTTTTCCTTCACCCTCGATAAGTGACGTTGAATTCGAAGGAGCAAGCTGTGCCAGATATTCCAACTTCCCAAAACTTGGAAGGGAAAAGTGGGATAAAGGAGCTTAGTTGAGGTGAGGGACGCCTGGGCGCATTCTGATCTATGCCTGGAAGTGCATACAAGATATCTACGAGTGGCACCGCATCGCCGCTTGGGACTGACTATACTCCGTTTCAAACATAGCGTGCAACGCAGTCAAAGCTAGCGCGCCGGTTTACACAGCCGACCGCGCCTACGTTCGCTCCACAGAATAGTGCGGCCCCTGCAAAAAAAAAAAAAAGGAAAAGTCGACAAATGTACATTTTTGGAGCGAGTAACTGATAATGGCGTTTTGATTTCGACGAAAGATAAATTTTTTCAATAAAAAGGAAAAGATAATGTAAGCTACTTTAATTCCTTTCCGTTTTCGTCCGTGCGGCAGCCGCTTCGGGTTTTGGGTTGTGCGGCTGCCAGCGTCTTCCCCTGCCTCGCCGGTTTTGAGAAGATGGCGTCTAACGCAGCAAGGTCAAGTAGATCTCCTGCTCGGATATTTTCGAAGATTCGTTGTGCGAAGATCTCGAAAGAGTGCAAGCAGGTAATCGCCAACGTGTACCCGAGTGCAAGAACGCGATTTCCGGAGATGTCGGTTCGTGAAATCCTGGAGAGGGTCAGTAATGACACCGGAGTGTGCGCCCGCACTGTCGCGAAGTACAAGGCGCAGTGTCTATCTGGCAAGGTGGCGTCCCCGAAGCGAAGACTTCGCAACGTAAAAGTCTCGAGCACGCGAACCGTCAAGCATGACGAGTTCACACTCAACGCCATTCGCCTGAAGGTGCATCGGAAGCACTCTGAGAGGGATATTCCTACTCTTGATAGCATACTGCAGGCTGTGAACGAAGACGACGAGCTGCCCGACCTGTCGAAGACGACTTTGTGGAGGTTCCTCAAAGACATCGGCTTCGCTTTTGAGAAGAGGAAGCGGAGACTGGCCCTTATCGAGCGCAGCGACATCATTGCCTGGCGTCGGAGGTATCTGCGAGCCATCAAAGAATTCCGAAGACATGGCAGGTACGGATCGTGCTATACGAATTTACTCATGTGGAACATGTGCGCCGTCTTCGCGTCGCACATACTGTAAACGATTTATTTTTCGCGGGCTCAATATTTCGCGGGCTCAGTATTTCGCGATTTAGGTGAGAGCTGACATTTTTTAATAATTCGCGGCTTCTAATTTTTGCGACCCGGTGGGATCTCAATGTAGATTTCAATATATCTACATTTTGCTGGAATTGTTAGCGGGACCTATTTTTCGCGAATTGCAGGCGATTCGCGAAATTCAGGTCCACGCGAAAATAAAGTCGTTTACAGTTTTCCACTTCGACCATAATTTCAGAATCGTCAAATGTCGTCCTTGAGCTATTTGGAACAACTTGCTCATCTCACGGATTGCCCTAATTGAGATACGTAGATTTCAAGAAAAGTCTAGCGCGTAACTTCATTTTACTTTTCTATAGTTAACTAAGTATGCAAAATTAAGCCTGACCCAGTAAATGATCTACGTCGTATTACGTTATTGTGATATTGGAATTAACACAGAATTTGAAATAACAATATAAGGTGTTTTCGTGCAGGTATATCATCTACCTTGATGAAACCTGGGTGAACGCCGGACACACCAAGCAATTCGTCTGGCAAGACAAGACTGTGAAGTCCTCACAGGACGCGTTCCTGAAGGGCTTGACCACAGGCCTGGCAGCGCCGTCTGGTAAAGGAGGCCGTCTGATTCTTGTCCATGCTGGGAGCAGCGAAACAGGCTTCGTTGAAGGTGCTGCCGACTTCTTCAGGGCCAAGAAAGGCAACAATGCGGACTACCACTCCGAGATGGATGGCACCTACTTCGAAGGGTGGTTTTCAAGCCAGCTCCTGCCCAAGATCCCGCCCAGCAGCATCATAGTGATGGACAATGCTCCATACCACAGTGTAGCTCTTGAAAAAGCATCCACGTCGTCGGCTCGGAAAGCCGACATCCAGGCATGGCTCACAAAGAAAGGAATTTTATGGTCATGGGACATAGTGAGGGCTGAACTCCTGGAGCTTTCCAAGAAGGTCAACACACCCGGCACTGTGTACCGGATCGACACCTTGGCAGCTGTTCACAGCCACGAAGTCCTACGACTGCCTCCCTACCACTGTGAATTCAACCCCATTGAGCTGGTATGGAGCAAGGTGAAGGGCTACGTGGCGAGCAAAAAAAAGCTTTTTACGCTTCAAGAGGTCGAGCGGCTCCTGCCAGAAGCACTGGCATCTGTGACCCAAGAGGACTGGCGAAACTGTTGCACCCACGTTCAGCGTGTTGAAGATGAAGCGTGGGAACGGAACATCATTGTCGACAGTGAAATTGAGCCAGTGGTATTCACTGTTCGAAACACGAGTAGCTCCTCCGATGAATCTAGCCAAGATCTGAGCGGCATCGAGGAACTTGAGTAACGGGCGGACACTCTGTCAGTGTTTTCGTCTATCCAACGGCCCTTGTAAGGGCCACAACAATCTGTGCAAATCGGGCTTCTTTCGATGGCTTCAAACTCCTGTGTCTCTTGCAACAACAACAAAAAAAAAAGATCACGAGTGCAGAAGGAGTTGAGTGTCATGATTGCATGTGTACAAGGAATCCCCACGTCGGTTGCCGTTTTTCGCTCGCTATCCGTGGCAAGAAGAGTGTCAGTTGAAGCAGATAGCCAAGAAAGTCTGCAATGACGAGCATTTGTATCGTCCATCTACAGTATTTGTTTCGCCCCGTGAAACACCTTGTAATCAGCTGCGGACGTGTACTGCAGTCGTAACAGTAAACCTGTGCCTGCCAATAATGTAAATGAGACACTGAAGGAAATACCCATTTTCTATCCCTAGAATGTCACCCAGAGAAAGACCTGACTCTGTGGTGTTGCGCACCAGTATACCTGTGCTGCATTTGACTTATATAAAATAGTATATAACTCAAATCCAAACTTTTTGTTGTCCCAGCAAGAAAATGACAGTGATGTAGGGGCAGGATTTTTTCTTTGTTGGTTGTTTACATTCTTTTCTACAATGATGCGAGGGGAGCTATAAAATGAGGCCTCAAATGGGAGCATACCTCTAACAAACTGTGCTAGCTTTCCAATTATGTTTACAACATCAAAGACCAGGGGTTTCTCAGGAATTTAAATTAGGGGGGGGGGGGGGGGTTTCTCGATGTCAGGGGGAAGGGGGGCATGGAGAATAGAGGGGCCGTTCCGAATTAAGGGGATGCCTTGAGAAAAACGAGGAGCTGTAAACCCCACTCCCCCCCCCCCCCCCCCCCCCCCTAGAGGGAGTGTGGGGAAATCACTGATAAAGACACGAGAATCAGATTTGCCCAGACATCGCAGCAGTAACTTGTGTGAGGAAATATGTTTCCGGTATGTAATGAAGTACCTGACGGAAGAAAGATGTGGACAAAAATTAAAACAGCTATTTCAAAATAAACTGAACAGGTCACAACTATTGTTGATTAACGTCTTATAACCGCCGCCGAGACGTCGCGATCGCCAGAGCAGCGCCTTGTACCGCTCGTCCATAAAACGCACGGAGTAATTCATTGTTTGGTGTGTTTTCATGCGCACTACTTCCGTACCTTTCCCAGCGTTGCACGCGATGGTTGAAACGGAGTACAGGGACACTAAAGGGACAAAGCAGATCTCGTCACGGACGCCTGCAAACATGGTTGGCTCGCTGAATAGGTGGACCCGAGGGTCCCTCAACTAATTAGAATTTTTGTGTGAAACTAATGGATTCTTTGATAAACAAATTTGGCAGTTTTATAGTAACATGTAATGGGCTTCTGTGATATATTTAGATTTCATTTTTTCCATTCCTGAAAAGTCTAGAACCATTTGAATGCTGAAATAAGATCTACAGCTGTTTTTTGTTCTACACGTACACATAAACAATTGTTTATGTGTACGTGAAATTAATGCTTAATCTATTTAGAATGTTGTTAATGCCGCTACAAATTCTTGTTCCCCCCCCACCCTATAATGCATTCCACGAGAATGCCCTTAAGGTAATGCACTTGAACTTGAGCTGAGGTAACTCCCATGAAACACAGTGTGGATTATTATGTTGCTCCAACAACCAAACCAGAGCTACAAGTGATCCTACTCGTCAATATAATTAGGATAAAAATCCATGGTGACTAAAATTGTAGACTGGCTTGTTGATACGTCACAAAGGAAGCATAAAAAACAGGTATGGATAGAAGTGACTCGGCAAACACAAGGATCTCTCAGGGGAGGTTGCTACCAGAAATTAAAAATAAAACAAAACATAGAAGACAACTTAAATCATATGGCACCACCAACGCCACATGGATATCAGTTTGTGTATTGACCAGAAAAGGGGAGCAAAAAAAAAAAAAAAAAACTTTGGAAGAGGAGACACCTCCAGGTGCATTGTATGGTGGGAACAATATATTATCTACTTTTGCATAGCCTATGCAGGTCAAGCAAAGCCCTATATCAAAGACAGCCCTCGGTGTCGTGTGAACATTTGGCAGTACCAGAAGCGGTTGCATGACAGAGTTCGATAAGATCAGATAAGTGCAGGCTATCAGGATAGAATCACAAGGATATGTGGAAGCTGGTGAAACTTTGGCTCGTGACAACCACAACTGCTTCCTCATCCGGTCCATCTCTTTATTAAAAAGGATCTTGATCACCTTCAACCAACAAACAAGTAGGTGGCACAGGGTGATTACTTGTTGTGTAGTATGTATCATAGGAATAAACCAGAGACGCAAATAGTGAACTGTGAACTTAAAAATAGGGGTGTGCGAATAGTTGTTCGAATCGAATAGCGCTCCGTCCTCGCTAGCATCAACAGAGCGAAAAGAGCCGGTTGCATCGGTTTTTCTTTGCACGGCAAAGGCTATGAATGACGTTGTGCTATTCGATTCGAACCACTATTCGCACACCCCTACTTAAAAATAATGTGTCACTTCAGTCTTTTTTTCTGGCTTTTTGGGAATCAAGTTATTTACAATCTTTCTTATCTGAGCCACTTATATACAATTGAAAATGTAGAGAACCAGATTTGTGAACATATGAAGAAAAACTATTTCTTGTACCAGGCATGTAGCCAGGATTTTGTTTCGGGGGGGGGGGGGGGGGGGGGGGGGGGGCCGCCAATGACAAAATGCTGTATGAAGGGGAGGGGCGAGAGGAGGTCCCAGCAAAATGGAAGATTTCGGAGGGGGGGGGGGGGCCGGGCCTTATGGGCCCCCCCCTGGCTATGTGCCTGCCTTGTACCAAACCACACTCCAAGTACAAATCTTAGCTAATAGAGTAGCCTACAATTGAAATAAAGAAGTGCTGTATCCTGCATGCCAAAAGATGCACAAAGACTTGCCCAGTGTGATGCAGATGGACGCTGCGGCTAGTTCTTTGAGTTGAACATTGGAGATGTGTGTTGTATTCTAAAAGTAAACAATGAAGCCCCCGCTCCCCCCCCCCCCCAGTTTAACTTCAAACCATGTCATTACCTGAGCATGTTTCAAAGGCAAGAAAGCACAAGTGGCTAATGTTTCCATGCATTAACACACAAAATGTAATCATCAGTGATAAAGCTTACAAAAGAACTGTTTGTAGCAGCTTTTGCAGCAAAAAGATGGCTTTTGTAACACAGAATTAATTGATTTAATTTATTTCACACTGCAAACTCAAGGACATGACATCCCAAAACCCAGACCTCACGCAACGAAAACGGCACAACCAAGCACTGGGTAGGATACCACTAGCAGACAATAATTGCTTGAACGACGGCAAGCTAAAGTATTCAAATAACGAACCTGCAGCAAAAAGATGTGCGAGCATTCCTTCATGGCTGTGGTAGCGTGCCTCGAATGAGTGGCGTTTGATAGCGGCTTTTGTAGAGGCATCGTAGCTGAAGGCCAGTGCTGGCAGGCTCCTAATGCTCCCAACTTGAAATCCACCAAGATGGGTCCCAAGAACCACCGTTTTCCCGTTGTTGGCTTGAGAACAATCAATTTCGTGGCGTCCTGTGATTCGTCCTGCATATGGGCCCCGTCATTACTGGCGATGCTCACAAGTATAATCTGCAGCAAAAATATGCGTGAGTGCTTCATCACGGCCGTGGTAGCGTGTCCCTCACATTTAAGCTTTAGGAGCAGGCGATTCCGGTTTATCACATTGTAAAAAGCGATGCAAGTACTATAAATATTCCCGCAGTTCTTCAAAGTGCCATAAAAACTATTATAAGTGCAATTATGACACACAGTGATTCGCAGCAAGAAGATTGCTGTTGGAAGTGCTGTATTAAAAGGGGATATAAAGCAAAAACACAGAACTTTGGCAAAGACCTCATTGCCTTTAAATCTCGATGCAATTACTAAATCAGTCCCATCTTCGACAACTGCCCAAAGCAACAAAACTATTTCAACATAGCGAATAAACCACACATGTCACGACAAGCATTTTTCCCTAAAATGAAAATAATGGGAGGAAGATTAATAGGAGTGTTCCTTAAGAAATCGGTGCCACCGGAACAATGATTGACACCGCTCTTCCTCCCACGCAAGGCATCCATAATCGTTCCAGCCAATGAGAAGCTACTACAAAAGGGAAACTAAGGGTTGAACACTCTTCTCGGAAAGTGGCCACTTTTTGCTAGAGCACATATTTTAATACTTGCTTTTATGTAGGTAAATATAAGTAAGTAACTCGGGGTTCCTCAATTCCATAAAAGGACAAAATTGTTTTCGTCTATGGAAGCTCACCGTGGGACGGAAGTGGTTTGTGTACTTCAGTCCTATTTATTATCGAGCAGTAATACATCTCATATCTGCTGAAAGTATTTAATAAATCATAGCGGCAAAAGCAGGTGGCGTGTCGTCATCTGCTTCCAGCCAGCATCTAATTGAGAGCCTCAAGTAAGAGTGCGTTGTACTGCTAGATCGGGTCTTGTGTTTATGGGCGCCATTAAATTGCAAAATTTTGCTCTTGGTCTACTGGGCTACGAGTGGTTTTTCAACGTAAATCCGGTTATAAACAGATGCTTGAAGATTTTCTTTCTTTTGCGAAGAATAAAATAGCATTTTTCTATAGACACCATTTTTGTTCCGACAATATAGGCATTTTTTACACGCAAAAAAGTGTTTAATGTGTGTACATCTCTAGCGCCGCCATTAAATTGTAAACGCTGTCCATGGCTTAAGTTGAACGCACTCTTACTTGAGGCTCTCTAGCATCTAATGACGTCGGTGGTGCAATCCCGTGGTATGTTATGCACGCACGGCCGTCGTTCGCCCGGTAGGCCTACCTCAGTGATATCTAATATAGGGGGGTGGAAGGCGCTTAGCTTCGTTCCGAGTCGGGCGCGAGTTAAGCTATCGGAAGTTCGATGCCTGCCCCGGAAGTCGAGTGTTTGCTGGGTTGTATAGTGCATTTAGTTTA